TCCCGTTCAGTGGGGGGGCTCGCACGTGCGCTGTGATGCAGTTTACTTGGCATCTGAAAATTCATTTCCTCAAAGGTATTTTGATCACGGAGTGAGAAGTAGTTAGGAGCACAGCAGCCAGTTTCAGTTTCACTTTCAATTTCACTCATTCTGCCGAGAGCCTGCAGGACACATGGGTGGGGTGGGGGGTGGGGATGTGTGCTCTGTGACGAGGAAGTTCGGCTTAAAGACACGTCCCAGAGGTGTTCCTGGTACCAAAAGGCGTTTCTGGTCCCCACCTGTCGTTTTGCTCCTCAGCATGGCTTCCTAAAAGTACTGCAGGATTTCTCAAACATGCATGAATGAGTCAGCGCAAGGCTTTGGGCATGTTTTTATGAGATTATAACATTATAACATGATATAAAACTCAAAAAAAGTTGATTTTATATCATATTGCCCCTTTAAAACTCCAGAAATGGGCTAGTGAGTCTACTGTAATGTTAACCAGGTGTGCAGTCCTGAGATAAACATGAAGTATTATGGATGGCTGAAGCTTTAACCAACAGTCAGCTACATGGAAACAATATTCCTCCATAAAAACCTGGTTTCTTTCTAATTCTACCTTTTACTCTTCCTCTCATATATTTCTAAACTCCTTACAAAGAGTCCATACAAAAAAAGTCACTGATGATGCAGAAATTAAGAAACTAACATTCAGTTCTGTTTTCTACTGAAGTGGCTAAAAAAAAGTCCATACAGCTGAATTCATATTCCGTCATTCAGCAAGAGCTCTTGCACCAGAGCTACTGCTCATCTGTGATGCATTCAAGTCCAGAAAAGACTCAGGTTACTTTGGCTGGCAGAGATGTGTGCTCTGTGAGTGCTTCTAGTTTCAAATTTATTCAACATTTTGGTGAATCTATGTTTTGAGAACACAAGTTCTTTACAAAATAATAATGATAGTTTCTTTATTTTCAGGGGTTCTGAGTTCAAGTAAAACATGGCGAAAAATCCCCACTGGTTACAACAGAGAAATAATCTACTAAACACACATTTCCTCACTTTTTGTACTGTTTTTCTTTTTGGAATTTCCGAAGTCTGATTGGAATAACTGCACGAAAGCCAACACAAAGTTTATTTCCAGGTGGAACAGACTTAGTTTGTGTTGGAGACAAAATGTAAAGCAGGCTGATAGTTCTGCTCCAAACTGAAAGGTTTGTCCTGTTAAAGATAATGTCTCATTGACACAGATACTGTCTGTCACACATTAGTACCACAGATTCTAACAATCATATGCCTCCTAAAGGCTCAGCTTCTTGGAGAGCAGAGCTGCTGGCTGTGAATGTTGAAACTCTTCAGAAAAGCTTGATTAGTTGTTAAAGCCTGAGGTTCAATCGTGCTGCAGTGACAACTTGGTTCAGACTGTGTTCACCTGGAGGTATTAGCTTTGAGGGAACCAAAACTGACAACAAAGTGTACAATCCTTATTTATCCACCTGTTTGACAAACTGTACTTTCCAATAGTAAGATGCCACATCTGCTTCTGGAACAGGTTTGGAGACTCCGAGGGAGAGTCCTCCCAGCAGCAGGGCTCCGGGGGAACGCCTGGCTTCCCAGAGGACACGGACAACCAGAGAAATGTTCAACGCACAGACCAAACCTCCATCCACATTCCTCCTGTGACTGTCACCTCCCCACCAGGAGACATGTCACACATGCCAAGTTAGTACCATTACCTTCAGATCATGGGTTTCCATTTGATTGAAATGTGATTGAAAACTGCTAGTATACAGCATGAATGGCCTTCTGTCCAGTAATCTACACTGGACCAAGGAGCCAGGATTGGACAGTTAGAAAATAAAGATGAAGAGGATTAAGGTTCTTCATTTTGTATGGATGGATGTATACTTTATTGTCCCCCGTAGGGGACATTTGTCTTTAACCTGGACAGTGGTATCTCTGGGGTCACATAAGAGCCTGCAGGGTCAGTGGAGCTGGAGATATAGCTCAGTTAAGTGTGGCCAGCAGGGGATCTAAGTACCTAAAAATACATAGAAATGAACGTATGCTGGTGAGTGTGGTCCTCAGAGGCATGGTAAAACACAGACACACTGAGCTAGCTTAGCTCTTGTAGTTAAATCAAAGCAATCAAACCTCTCACCCTCTTGTCTTGTTTATATTCTCAGGTAAAAAGAAAAAAAATTGTATAGGTCCTCTGGACGGGTTCTTCTTTAATGAAACGTTTCGTCTCTCCTCCAAGAGACTTCTTCAGTCTGAGAGTTTCAGGCAAAATTCAGGCTTTTGAGTCCTGCCTCCATCCGTCCAGAGGACCTATATAATTTTTTTTCCTTTTGATTTTTTACCTGGATTACTGAGATGCATCAGGACATACGTATTCTCAGGTAGTTAACCTTCATGCCAAAGGTTTGGGATCAGTTTGATTTGTTTAACTGTAACTAAGTGGAGAACCCTTGTTGTCACAAGTGATTCTTGATGTTTCCTAGCCCTCTTTCTTGTTTTTATGTATCATTTGTGACTGCAGTTGTGTGAACTGTTGTATTTAAGCTGTTACACCTGTGAAAGCCCACACTTACAGCAGCACTGGCATCAGCATGAACATACGAGCTGAAACATGCTGCATATGTTGTCTTGCTTTTCACACCTGTGTTGGTGGATTTTGTTGTAAGCAATGCCAAAGTCAAGGCAGAAGAAGATGAAATATTCAACACAGAATTGTTACACTGTAAGTAGATGAAAAACAAAATTTGCAAAAGGCAAGACAAACACGTTTTGAAAGACTGTGCAAACTTTGAAGAACACTGTCATTTTACATTTATCATCACTACCACAATTTCAGCGCATCTGTTTCTGTGTGTTGATGGGTTCTTCAAGACCCAGCTTCACACTCAAAAGTGTCCCGAGTCACACCAAGTGACTCCGAGTGTAGTTGTGTGTTGGTAGTCACCAGAAGAAGACACCTATTGATTTTGGGCACAATACGGCCGCCACTGCAGCGAGTTTGAAAACAGTTTCCGTTGATCTCGATTAGAACTCGTGCACCAAGTGACACATTTTTATGATTTGTTCCTGGTCAGCATAGCTCAGCTGATGAGTGTGGTACTCTGGGGTGTCTGGTCCAGGGTCCCCCCCACTGAACAGGTCTGGTGTCTGTATGTCTGACACATGAGGTCTGACTGCCTGACTGAGACTGCTTATCAGTCTTCACCTCTTCAGCTGATTGTTTCCTCTTCAGCTGATTGTTTTATCATCAGCTGATTGTTATGTCTTTAGTTGATAGTTTCCTTTTTAGCTGATTGTTACCTCATCTGCTGATCTAACAGTATGTTCTGAGGCCTGTGTTTGGGCTCTGGCATAGGTACCTCAGCTCAAACCAATCTGCTGTTGGTCATTTCTACTACATTCTAACATGTTAGTCACATTTTGACTGGTTTTGTTTTGTTACCTGATTGTTAATCTAGATTAGTTTCTCTTTATTCATGACCCTGAGGACCCCCGCCACCAGCAGAGCATCATTTCAGTGAGTATTTAAGCTTGTAGGTTTCATTCAAGAAGAACATCTACTGGTGTTACCACTTATTGCACATTATTCAGCACCATGACACAATCCCTGTAGATGTGAGTTCAGGGATTACTTTCTTGTCCAGGCCTGTTTTCAGACCTGTAGGTCCCTGCTGGGCACAGTGTACATTCTGGATCACATCACAGAGGTGTTGTGGTTCACAGAGCTTCTTCTGGAAGAACAACTCAAGCTCCAATACCTCTTACAGTAGCTCATTATCAGACTAACTCATGACAAGTCACAGAACTAAATAGAAGAATCACAAAACACAGGAAACAAACATAAAATAAAAGAGAAACAAACTTAAGAATAAAAAAAATCTGTCACATTACTAAAACCCATACCCTGATAAAGGGCCCTGTAAAGACTGGATCATGTTTTGTGTCTCAGAGCAGCTCTCTGTGTTCTCAGTGAACAGTATTGACTGTGAAGCACTGCCTATGAATGAGAAGAACTTGGAGGATCTCTGTCAGTCTGGACCAAGACCCATCCTGCCTCACAGCTCAATGTTCATCTTTGGACAGACCAATCCGTGAGTTGCTGCTTATTCCCCTTCAACATGTGGAGACTTCAGGACAGTAGTTTGAGCAAACAGGGTGGTGTCATCTGTTAAATGACTTGTCAGTAAGTGACTTGGTTCTGTTTTAGGGACAGACTTTAGAAGTCTACCCCTGAAACAGAACCAACATGGTCTTCAGGGTGCACATTTTTAAAATAAGTAAGTTAATTAATGTTCCTGCTGTGTTATTAATATTTTGAATCATGAAAGTTTGTCTTTGTTAAAATCAGAGTGTTGCAGCAGCTGCTTCCTGTTTGTGCCTGTGTGCTCAGGGTGAGGCGGTTGTGTCACTACGTTGTGACGCTGCGGTACTTTGAGATGTCCATCCTGGTTGTCATTGCAATGAGCAGCATCGCCCTGGCAGCAGAGGACCCCGTGTGGACCCACGCTCCTCGCAACAATGTGAGGCCAACTGAACTCTCTTCTTTCTTTTTTTTATATGTTCCTGCTTTTTAGGAGTTTTGCTCTGGTGTAAAACATGATCAAGTTTAATGTTGTGAAATAAACACCAGACTAATCTGCTCCTCCTTGTTGTGTGTTAGCTGTGTAAAAGGAGCAACTAAAAGCTGAAATGTCCTTATAAATAACAAATACAAGAATGCATGCACAGCCTGATCACACAGTATTCCACTGATGTCAGGACACAAACTCCTGCTGCTTTAAGGATGAACTTCACCTACAAATGATGAAAGTACAGTTCTTCTTCAAACATAACATATAAT